CCCAGTCCCCAGAGCACCTATGCTAGCTGGGCTTTAACCCCTTCCCTGCTGGGGGTTCAGCCACAGCCTCTGTGTAACCACCGTGCTTTGGAGCCTGTGCCTGTCCTTGCCCACTCCATGGCACAGGGGAGGAATCCCTGGGAGCTCCCACCATGTGCTGGCACAAAGCACCCCTGGACAAAGCCCCCTGCACAAACACAGCCTCCTTGTTCGGACCATTAGGGCATCTCCTCTGGCCTCCCGAAAATAATGAGCCAGCCTCGTTAGGAGAGCAAACACAAGGGACGTGGGCTGCCAGGGAGGCCTTGCGGGGCTCGTTTCCGGAGGAGTTGGCAGAGCAGAATGGCCAAAGCTGCACGTGAAAACCCAGCCCAGGCTGAGAGCCCTGCCCGGAGCAGGGGGGCTGCCAAGGGGCACAATTATGGAATACTCGTATCAAGATTCCTCTGCAGCCACTGTGTGCCAAAAGTGACCCGATGGCTCCCAGCCCACTGCACCCAGGGGGCTCAGAGGGGACAGGGACACTGCCCACGGGCACACGGCTGTGTCCCCATTGCAGATGGGGTACAGGGACACTGCCCACGGGCACACAGCTGTGTCCCCACTGCAGATGGGGGACAGGGACACTGCCCACGGGCACACGGCTGTGTCCCCATTGCAAATGGGGGACAGGGACACTGCCCACAGGCACACAGCTCATCTCCATTGCAAATGGGGTACAGGGACAGTGCCCATGGGCACACAGCTCATCTGTATCAAGATTCCTCTGCAGCCACTGTGTGCCAAAAGTGACCCGATGGCTCCCAGCCCACTGCACCCAGGGGGCTCAGAGGGGACAGGGACACTGCCCACGGGCACAGCTGTGTCCCCACTGCAAATGGGGTACAGGGACACTGCCCACGGGCACACAGCTGTGTCCCCATTGCAGATGGGGGACAGGGACAGTGCCCACGGGCACACAGCTGTGTCCCCACTGCAAATGGGGGACAGGGACACTGCCCACGGGCACACGGCTGTGTCTCCATTGTAAAAGCAAAAGGGATGCAGGCACTGTGTCAGGATGGGATCCAGCAGAGGGAAAGCTGTGTCTGGGTGAAAGGAGGTGGAAGAGCAGCGTTATGGGGGTGAAGGGGATGCCTGGAGCTGAGACCTGGCAGCTCATCACAGGTGTGGGCACAGTGCCTGCCCACAGAGCCCAGGGCATCCCTATCTACACCTGTGCTGGTGCCATCACTGCCCTGTGCTTGGGGCAGGGACAGTGGCCCCCCAGCCCAGCTCCCAGCCCTGGTGGGTGCCAGGGCAGCTTTGGGGTCCCTGTGAACCCCCCCAACACATCACAGACCACTGCCACTTCGTTACTGTCATTAAGCTTTTATTTCCACTGTCACAAAGTTCCTGGGTTTTGTTTTGTTCTGTTATTAAACTGTTTCATTTGCTTGGTTTGCTCTTGAATTCATCTCAAGACAAGGCAGCGGGGCATGCAAGCCGAGACACCGGCACGGACGCACACACAGGCTTCATCTTCACAAACAAGGCTCTTTGCTGGAGCTGCTGCTTCCCAGCCCAGGGCTCGGCCACCCCCTGGGCAGGGGTCACAGCTGTGGCACAGGGCACCCAGCCCAGGGCTGTGGCCACGGGAGCAGAGAGAGAAGGGAAGGATGGCTTTGCTGCAGCGCTGCTGGAACAGGCAGGGCTGACATGGTAACTGACACCCCAAAACTGCTGCACCCCAAACTGTGCACTGACACTGGGGCCATCAGTCCCTGCTTTGCCCTCAGCCCTCCTTTCTGTCCCAGCCAGACCCTCCCCTCCAATGCCCTTGGGAAGGACAGGTGACCGATGCTCTCACCAAATGCCCCAAATCTCCTCCTTGGATGGGGGACAGTGAGCTGGCTGCAGGTCACTCACCCATCCCAAATGACCCCCCAACCCTAAATACATGGCAAGGGGGCAGCTCTCTAGTGATTTCAGCTGCTCCCATGCCATGCCTGGCCCTGCTTCAAAGCCAGCCCTGCTCCAAGTGGGGCTCAAACCCAGATCCCAAGGCTCCAAGACCATTCCACCCTCTGGAGGAGCAGTGACCTCAGGCTCCCATCCAACAGGAATGTGGTGTCCTGAAGGCAGGGAAGAGCCAACAGGCATCCATTCCTGTGAAGGAGGGTGAGATGCAGCTGGTACCTGGCACAAACAGGGTCTGGGGTCCCCCATAAGCAAACACCCCCCTCCACCAACCCAGTGGAGAGTGCCCCTGGGACCAGCCTGGTCTCGTTATAAATTACATTAATTAACAGGCTGCTCCAGAGGAAAAACCCTTCGCTTCTCTCTCTCTCGGGTCCTGGTTTGTGCTGTAGGAGAGGGCAGGGGGGAATCTGCCCCCAGAGCCTTCTCCCACGTTCCTGCTCCTGGGGGAAACAGCTCAGCTCAGCCCAGCCCCAGAGCTCAAGGAAAGACGGACACAAAGCAGCAACAATCAGCACACAGACAGAAAAGTGAAAAGAAAGGAAAGTACAGACATGGCATTTAATGGGGCAACAGTGACAGGGACAAATGAGAGGGGGGCACATGCCACAGCCACCAGGGCTGGACCCTCACCTCTGCCTGGCTGTGCTTTGGGCCCCCTTCCCACGGCCAGGGCTCTGGTTTGGACAGGCACCAGGAACCCGAATACAGAGACAAAGCAGGGCTTGCTGCCTGTTTCAGCACGAGCAGGTGTAAAACAGAGGCTGGAGTTAAAGACTCCCTGGCAAACCCAGCATTCCATGCACTGTTCCTGGTGCTCTGCACGTGCCTGATGCCCGGTGGGTCCTGCCAAGCCCTGTGCCCACAGTCCTGGGCTGTACCCAGCATCATGCTTGCCAGGGCACAGACACCAAGCTGCTTTCCAGAGGGGGATGGCTCACCCAGCCACTCCACTGAGGGGGAAACTGAGGCACGAGGAGGTTAAGGCTGACATTTCCAAGCACAAGATGCTCCAAGCCTTATTCTCAGTGACACCAAGATGCTGCAGATCCTGGTGGTGGTCAGGAGGAATCAGGGGCCCTCGGTGCTCCCCAGAAGTGGGACTGGAAACATCCAAGCCAGGGTTCCAAATCCACAGCCAGTGGGGAACACTGGGGCCAAAACAGCTTTGCTCAGGGACACTCAGCATGTCAAGAGCCCTGGCAGGGCTGACTCCCTGGGGAGACATTTGTGAGCACTGATGGAGCTCAGCCCATGACAGGTCCTCCAAAAATTAAAAGCTTTCCAGGGGAACAGTGTCAGAGTAAACGAGGTTTGCCTTTGCCTGGGAACTATGTCAAACATGGCAGGGGCCATCATTCATCAGCAGAGGTGATTACAGCAGTGTCACATTCATTGGGAACATTGATTGGCACCAGGAGGGGACCAGTCTGGCACATGAGCATTCAACAAGTTGCAGGCACTGCAAAAACCTACCCCAGAGAGTTGCATTTTGGCCACAGAGCAAGAAGGAAAAGGGTTTCCATGGGAGTGGAGAGGGACACCCTCCAGAAGCACCCCCACCATGAAACTGGGCATCCTCAGGGGCAGGAACTGCAGGAGAGGCAGGAATATTGCACACGGACGTGAGGTCAGTCTCCTTGGGGATGGGGAAAGGTGTTTTTTATGGGCATAAAGAAATACCACAAGCACAAAACCCCAAAAGTGGGGAGTGGGGCTGCAGGGTGAAGAACCAGCATCCCTTGGCTGGGGCATCTGTCCCTGCCATGCCAGGAGGATTCAGGGAATGCTGAGGCACCACCGTGTCTCCTGCATGGTGGGACACCTGTCCCACTGTCCTGCCAGGCAGATGTCACCTCCCCCTGCCACGGGGACAGTCCTCTGTCTGGGCTTAGCCACAGGAGCTGGGGGACAGCTGGGTGCAGAGATGCTGGGCCAGAGATGGAAGGGTGAGGCCCCAGGGTGGCTTTGGGGGCCCCAAAGGCTTCTTGCACTCTCCTCCCGAGGGAATGCACATCCCTGCATCCCAGAGCAGCTGGGGCATCACCCAAGCAATGCTCATTCTCCAGCAGAGATGCCAACTGTGTCCCACGGTGGGGCTGAGCTGGGGGCACTTCCCAGAGGGGTGCTGGGTGCTGATGGAGTTTGGAGGGGCCACGCAGGTCCTGCTCATGATGGGGGGCTGCAGCTCAGTGTCCCCAGGTGTAAATTCCCAGCCCTTTACCCCCTCCAAGGTGGGTGCAAGCGGCTCTGCTTGGGGGCACAGCAAATCCTCCCACGTCCTGTGGGAGTGCTGGGGTAAGGAGACACCCTGAGCTGGGCTCAGCCCAGCCTGGCACTGCCCTGGCACCTTGTCCCAGCTGGGATGGGGGGACGGAGCAAGGCTGTCCCTGCAGCACACAGGATGGTTCACAGACACCACCAAACACCTTCCCGCCGTTTGCAAAGCTGAACATAGCAAAGGAATCTGCCTGAAAGCAGAACCCAGCTCAGGGCTCCATTAATACTTTTTCATGCAGTGAGAAAATGAATAAAAGGAAGGAAATAGGGATGTTCTGGTGCCCAGCAGTCTGCTCACCCTGCCCGACTGAGCTTGGTCTGCTCAGAGTCTGGGCTGAGTGAGCCCTCACTGAGCTCCCAAAGGGAAGAGTGGACAGAAAAATGCAGGGAACACGGGAACGGGGAGAGGAAAAGAAGCTACAGCATCCCCTCCAAACAGCAGCCAGCCCACGGAGCTTGGGATACGGGGGGTGGGAGGAGAGGGGGGAAGGCAGATTTTTGGCTTCATTGTTATTGCAGGCTCCCGGGTCCCCGCAATAGTGTACGAGCATGTAAACCTTACAAATCCTCACCTGGGTGGGTGGACACACACACGAGAGACAAAACACAGCAGCAACACTTACAACAAATAAATAAGGATATCGACCGTCGAGATAGGCATATAAAAAAAAAAAAGCCTCACTTTTTTTTCCACCGAAGGGAAAAAAAAAAAAAAAAAAAACCCAAAAAAAAAAAACCAAACCAAAAACCAAAAAACTGCCCCCCCAAAAAAAAAAAAAAAAATAAAATAATATATATCCCTAGTGAGCCGAGCCGGGCTGCCAGCGGCGTCGTGGGCGACGCCAGGACTCTGCTCCCAACCGCCGTCGGTGCCTCGGCTCCCCGGGCACACCCCGGGCACACCCCGGGCACACCCCGGGCGCACCCCGCTACCTTGGGGCTCCTCTGCGGCCGGCTCCCCGCCGGCACAGCCGCAGTCCCATCCGGAGGGAAGGAAAAAGGGAGGGAAGGGGCGAGGAGGCCGAGGGGGCTCTGCCTGCGCCCCCCGGCCCCGAGGTCCTGGACGTTCGCTGCCGCTCAGACCGGGGTCTGGCGCGGGGCTGGGTGGGAAAAGCGGGGTTTGGCGAAGGGCAGCGGCTGGTTCAGAGGGCGGAGAGGGGGTGAGCTCGCGCTTTGAGGGCACTCCTTGCTCGCAGGGCAGGAAGGGAGGCCGGGAGGGACAGGCAAGCTTCGCACGGCGGTGGTCGGATGGCACGGAGAGCATCTTCCCCCAGGCATCTGCAGGAGAGGGTGGAGAAGGGAAAAAGGGTGAGGAGGATGGCCAGAAATCCCTGTGGCCATCTCAGCACACAGCTGGAAACAGAATAGATAGTGAAAATCTCAAAACTCCACCCCACCACCAGGACACTGCCTGGACTGTGATGATCAAAAACACCCCAAGGGACTCTGCACAGCTCCACAGGGCACAGCAAGGAGCAGGGGATGCTCAGCCCAGCACCTGCATGATGCTGTGAACCAGTGTCCCTGACACAGCCGTGCCAAACCAGCTCCAGGGCATAATATAATAAGATCTAAGATAAATAAAACATTTAATAAAATCTGTCTCTGGAGTGTCCACATGCCCCCAGCATGCCAGCTGCCTCCCTGCCTCCTCTGCAGCCACATCTGCTGGTGAGGGCACGAGCTGTGCCTCAGGCAAACCTTTCCATCCCCATGGGATGAGGTCTGAGGGGCTCTGTGATACGGGGAGGACTGGGAGACACTTATCAGAATGGGGGTAACATTCCCCTGGCTGGATTTTGGGGGGATATCCATGTTTTGCTGCTTCAGCAGAGGAGAATCAGCTGCCTGTGCCTGGGGGAGGTGGGAATGGCATGAGGCAAGTGGGAGATGGGCCCCCCAGAGCCCCCGGCACTGCACTCACCGCCGCTCGGCCCCGGGACTATACGAGCCCATCGTAGAGGGAGAGAGCCTGCACGATGGAGGGGTCGGCCTTGGAGCCCTCCTGGAACTCCTGCAGCGTCAGCTTCCCGTCTGCATTCTGCAAAACACTCCTGTGACTGCACTGCTGCACCCAGCTGAGCACCCGGCAGCCCACGCCAGCCCAGACACCCTGCCCACTGCGCTGCCTCAGTTTCCCCACTGAGCCAGCCATGGAGGGGACAATGCCACCCTGGAGACCCTGAAATGGATACAGGGATCCCAGAGGGATGTGGCTATCCCACAGTGATCCTGGCAGCAAAGGGACCTCCTAAATCCCTTGGCCACAGGGAAAAAACCCTCAAGCGTCCTCACCTTGTCCATCATGGCAAAAATCCGATCCACCCTCTTCTCTGGCGTGTTCTCCTCCTCAGGAAGCTCCACTGTGTTTCCCTGCAGCAGCAGCACAGGACTGGGTCACACACCCATCCGTGCCCTGCCTGGAGAGTGTCCCCAGGCGAGGATTGTCCCCCCACACACATCAGGACAGGGGGCAAGGGGACAACACTGGCACCAGAGCCACCCTCAGCAACCAGATCCAGACACTGCCCCGGCCATGATGGCCACAGCCCCCCACCAAAAAAGGCCAGAAGAGGAATTGGGGGTGTTCCAGCATTCCCACAGAGCCGAGCTCCAGCCCAGGAGGGGCTGCTTGCCCCAAGCCACCCTCAGCAACCAGATCCAGACACTGCCCCGGCCATGATGGCCACAGCCCCCCACCAAAAAAGGCCAGAAGAGGAATTGGGGGTGTTCCAGAGAGCCACAGAGCCGAGCTCCAGCCCAGCAGGGACTGCCTGCCCCGTGCCCCCCTGCCCCTCTTACCACCATCTGATAAATGGCATCCACAATGTCCAGCATCTCGTTCCTCGTGATGTACCCGTCGTTGTCCAAGTCGTACAGCTTAAACGCCCCTGCGAGACAGAGCAGCCCCAAGGGGCTGGGACTGCGGCCCCCAGCCTGGACCCTCGTGGGGCTGAGCCCACCCCCATCCCACGGGGAGCACTTACACCTCAGCTTCTCGTCCAGCGTCCCCCGGGAGGTGACCGACAGCGCCTGGATGAACTCCGAAAACTCAATCCTCCCGTCCTGGGGGAGGAAAGGAGGGGTCAGGCTGCTGCTGCCACTGCTGCCCAGCAAAGCCCTCCCTGCCCAGGTATCCCCTCTGGGGGCACATCTGGAAGGCAGCAGGGAGGGAGGAGTGATGCACGTTTATCCCCAGCGCTGTGACCCAGCTGCCGGTGCCCAGCCCACTGGAGAACATCCCGGCAGGAGCAGCCCTGGAATGCAGGGGGCACCACAGGAATGGGCTTCTGGGGCACCAAAACACCACTGCTCCTTTCCTGCTTTGCCACTTCATCACCCTTCCCCATGTAACCTAACTAAAATAAGCACAGGGGCTCACTCCAGCTGCGCTGCTGCAATTTCACACCCCAGGAAGCGCTGGAATATTTTGCTCCTCCGGTGCAAAATTCCAAACCCATCCCACCATCACCACGGGCCCAGCCCCGACCGCCCTGGACCGAGCCTCTGGATGCCAGACTTACTTTGTTCTCATCGAAGACATTGAAAACAAAGGTGGCAAATTTGGTTGGGTCGCCGAAGGGGAAGAACTGCTTGTAGATCTTCTGGAAGCCGGCGGCATCGAGCTGCCCGCTGGGACAGTCCTTGATAAAGCCCTTGTACCTGAGGATGGAGGGCACAGGTGGGCCCAGGAGGGCTCCCCCCTGACATGGGAGGCTCTCCCCAGTGGGCTGGAGCTGGCAAGGTCCCCAGGTGCTCCCTGTGTCACCCGCCCACAGCACCCCAGCCCTGTGGGCACCACAGTGAGGGTGGCAGCGGGGACAAGCAGTGAGTGGCACCAGTGACACCGAGTGATGCCCACTGCACTGCCCCAACCTGCTGCCAGCCCACAAGGGCCACAGCCAGGCTTGTGTTGAACACTGGGACATGGGAGGTGACAGGGACCCACTGCCCAGCCAGGACTGGCAGCGATGCCACGCTGCAGCCGTGCCCTGGCAAAAAACAATGGCACAGGGACCTCTGAGTTCTGTGAGGGTGGCTGGGCACTGGAACAGGCTCCCCAGCAAAGTGGTGATGGCACCAAGCCTGCCAGAGGTCAAGAAGTGTTTGGACAACAGTTTCAGGCACATGAGGTTCTTGGGATGAGCAGGACCATTGGATTTATTCTGATGCTTGAGTCCCTCCCAGCTCAGGATATTCTGTGATAATTTTTGCACGATCCCAAATGAAAGCTGCTCAGAGGAGCTGGGGAGCACAGCAAGGTTCCTGTGTCCTCAGGTGGCACAGCCCAGTCACTTCCAAAACCCATCAATGCTTTAACACCCCAAAAAGCCCTCGGTCCCAGCTCCAGGCTGGACCTGGCTGCTGGAAGGTGCAGCTGAGGCGGGGGGCGCGGGGAAGGGGCTCAGCGGCTCCGTGGGTGTGGGCACCACAAGGGAGCACGAAGGGAGCAGGTGGGACCACAGGGGCATCACGTGGGGTACGGGAATATTATGCAACACATCGCCCAGATCTGTCAGGCGCCCGCTGCAGCGGGACAAGGGCTGGAGGAGGAGGGGAAGGGGGTGGCGAGGTGGGAATCCGAAGTGCCAGTGACATCTTTTTCACGCTGCTGCAGCTATGACTCATCGGGAGGGGGGGAAGGATGAGAGAAAGAGATAAAGAAAGCAAACCTTGGCTGGTGGGATAGCGAGATGAAAGGGAAGCAGTGGCTTTTCTAGGGCGCCGTGTTCGGTGGGGTGGAGGGGATGGAGTGAGAGCTGGGAAGAAACTGTGGATCCCACCCCTGACAGCTGGGACAGCGCCAGCCTCCTGCACCAGGTCACAGCTGGACAGTCCCCGTGTCCCCACTCTCTTTGGCTGCTCGTATGGGGAGGGAAGAGCCACTAGAACCCAGTCCTTGCACAGGGTGTGCAAGGAAAACCCCTCCATTTTCTGGTCTCCCCTCTATGAGGCAGCACCTGCACCCCAGTACAGGTGTGCTGCCCACACCTCCTGCGTGTCCCTCTCTGCCTGGCCAGTGGGGTGGCTGAGTGCCACCAGCTCCTGTCCCCTGCCCACAGCCCCCTGCCCCAGCCAGCTCACCACCACGGCGGGCACTCACCACTGCTGCACCTCCTTCTCTGTGACTGCAAGAGAAAACAGGAGAAAAGAGAAAAAAGAGACAGAAATTTAGTGCTTTTGCAGTGGCAGCTGTTCCTCTGCACGGCCCATCAGTTGCAGTGGCAGCTGTTCCTCTGCACGGCCCATCAGTGAATTCCCTGGGGAATGCTCTGGGGCTCCCAACAATGAATTCCCTGGGGAATGCTCTGAGGCTCCCAACAATGAATTCCCTGGGGAATGCTCTGAGGCTCCCAACAATGAATTCCCTGGGGAATGCCCCAGGGCTCACTTGCTCCATGAGCTGCCAAGCTTTCCCTATGTGGCAGAAACTGCTTTTGGGGCACAGCCCAGGCCAGCCCAGGTGGTCCATGGGGCCAGGGCTGCAGGTGCTGGGGGTCCCCAAAACCAGGGAGACTCCCAAGATGTTTTGTGTTGTGCTCAGGGAGTGCAGAACTACGATGGTCCATGAAAGGGACAAGCTGACCATACCTAGGGAGGATCTGGCCCTGCTGCCTCCTCTTCCCAGAGCCAAAACATCCCTGAAAACATCTGCCAAAACATCTGCCTGGAGGCAGCTCAGGGAAGGGCCTTGCCTGGCTCTGACACACTGAAGGTGGGCACAGCCCCAGGGCTGGCATCCCCCCAGGTACCAGCAGTCTCTGGAGAAACATCACCAAACCCATCCCAGCACACTGGGGAGCCTCACCAGGCTCTGGAAAAATCCCAAATACAGCAAAAACTAGCCAACAGACAGCACTGGCAACCCAAGTGTCCCCAGCCAAGGGACAGCTGCTGAGATGGACAATGTCCTCAGCAGAGGAAAGGCTCTGAGGGGTGCGGGGTGCTGGCACTTGTCACTGCGTGTCCCACTGCAGGAGCTGTGCCTGTGCCTCCCCACAGCGGGGAGCCAGGTGCCAGCAGGTGGGCACAGGGGGGAACGGCCTCTTTTGTCATTTCCTTTGCGTCGTGCATCTAAATAATAATGGAAGAGCCGCAGGTCTGAAAGGCGCGGGGATAATGAGGCGAGTGGAGATGTCAATGTGCAAACGGCTGATAAAAACAGAGACCGAAGACACACCGACAGATGCCAATTACCTTGGATGGCAAGAAAAATAAAGAAAGCAATTTTCCATCAGGAAGATTTGTAACGTGCCCGGCAGAAGGCGTAGAGCTCAGAGGTGAGGGCACACAACGGCCCCCGCCTCATCACCAGCTGGATTCTGGCTCCAGCATCCCTGTCAGCAGGAATTTCTGTGCCCAAGGCTGTCCCCATGCTTTGGAGGGTCCCTCCATCCCAGCACAGGGGTCGCTGAAGGGACAGAGCCTTCCATTCCCCATTTCCCCTGGGGTTCAGCAAGAGCAGCACCCACTGTAGCACCAGGGGGTGTGGGACAGCAGCTCCCCAGGAGAGGGGACACAGGCACAGGGATGCTCAGCAGCTGGGATGAGCACAGGGAGCTTTGGCAGTGCCACAGAAGGGATTTGGAGTGGAGGGCTGGTTTTTTTGGGCACACAGCGGTCTCTTGGCAGGAGGGAGGCAGGAAGGTCATGCTGCATCCAGCAGCCGAGCTGGGGTGGGCTAAAACATCAGTCACAGCAGTTCCAAGGGATTTCCCCATCCAAAAAAAAAAAATAAAGAAAAAAAAAAAAAAAAGATAAAAAAGGGGTTGCACAGAAGCATCCTTCCAAAAGAGAGATGCAGAGTGACATCTCCAGCAGGAGCCTGCACACACCTGCATTGAGACACCAGGCGTGACCTCCACCCTGAGGATGCCCGGGGGATGCCCCAGGCACCGGCTCTGCAGGCCCGAGCACCCAGGAGGGCACCAAGGTGGAAGGAGGAGGATGAGGGTGAGCCCTCGGGGCAGGCAAAATGAAAAAATGAAAATGCACCGAAGCAGCAGCCGGGGCTGCGCTCACAGCTCGGCTCAGCCCCTCCAGGCAAATCGCCTTCTGCTCTCTCTTGTTCGACTGCTTTTCCCCCAACGTGCTATTCTGGGCCCGGGAGCTGCCTTTCAACTCCAGCAGGAAACAATTAAGAAATTTGTGCTTTTTTTAGTCCGGGAGAAATGCTGGTAATGACAGCTCGGGCTGAGGCGGGAGGGAGGGACGGAGCCAGCTCCCCTCGTGCCGCAGGAGATGTGTGATGCTCCCAGGAGAGGCTTTTCCGACGGAGGAAACCGCTCAGGTGCCAGGCTGGAAATCAGCACAGGGCTCCCGATGAGGGATTTGTTAATGTGCACGGGATTTGTTAATGTGCACGGGATTTGTTGATGTGCAGGCTGGCACGGAGCCACACGCAGCCCCATCCCTCCTCCAGCACACCGGCACCGCTGCCTGCCCTCCAGCTTGGGGATCTGCGGGGTTTGTCCCGAGGTGGGAGCACGGCCTCATCTCCCAGCCCTTGGAAAACCACCCAGCCCTGGGTTTGCCCCTCTACTGCCACCAAATCCGCCGTCTGCTCGCAGGGCAGGGAACCGGCCCAGCGCCGACCCGGGTGGCACTGAGCAGCACTGCCTCCTGCACCTGCTGATGGACACACGATGACACCCCGGCTGCCCTTCCCAGCCGCTCCGGCCCTGCTGGGAGGTGACACTCCGAGTGGCACCAACTAGGAACGCTGATGCCCGACAGAGCCTTGGGGACACGCTACTGCGTGCGCGGCGGAGCCACCCGTCCCGAGGCTGGGGACAGAGGACAGCGGCGGGGCCGGGGCTGTCCCGGTGCTCTGCACGGCCGGCAGAGCCCGGCCGGGCTCACGGGCAGCTCCCGTGCAGCGGCAGCTCCCGTGCAGCGGCAGCTGCTGCATTTCCCTCCCGCGGCATCGACTGCGGCACACATCAATCCGCAGCGATGTAAACCTGCACCAGGCGCCTCAAAACAAGGGGGTGACCCAAGCAGCCCCCCCAGAGCAGCCCGGCCGAGCAGGGCCGGGTCCCAGCCCAGCAGGGTCGGGCTCAGCTGCGGGCAGGGCTGTAAATAGCGCACGCAGCAGCTTGTTAGCAGCAGCAGCGTGGCCCGGGCTCCTCGGGGATGAAAGGCGCTAAATGAAGGCAGAGTATTCTCGTTTGTTATGAACAGCGAGGCTGGAAGAGGCCTCGCCGAGCGGGGAGCCCCGGCGCCCAGCCCCGTGCGAAGAACGGAGAGCGGGGACAGGGACACGGACAGGCACCCAGAGCAGCTCGGGAGCTGCCCCACACGGCCAAACCCCGTCCAAGGGCCCTCTCTCTTGGCTGGTCGGTCCCTTCCCACCTCGGGGAGGAAGGTTGCGGCGCCTCGTCTCCCACAGCGCAGAGGGGCAGAGCCTCCGAGCAGCCCCCAGCCCGCTCCGAGCCGCTGCCGGTCCCCACGGCTCCCCCCAAGGCTCCCCCCAGCCCTCTCCCCCCACCTCTCCATCAATCCCAGCGGCACAGGCGAGGACTGACAGCTCCGTCACCACCCGCCCTCCGCGTGCCCCCTCTCCTCCCACCACCCAGCTGCCACTGCAGCAAGAATCAGCTCTGGTTAATCAGTGCTCGAGCCTGTTAATTTGCGTTTGCCAGGCAGAGAGGAGAGGAGGGACCCGGGACTGCAAATCCCCATCCGTGGCCCGGGCGCAGGGAGCTCGCTGGAGGGGACGGGGCGGGAGGAAGGAGGGCAGGAGGAAGCAGGATTCGAATGGCTCGGGAACCCCCGGTCCCGGTGGGATGCATGAGGTGACGCGATGCTCCAGCCCCCCAGGGGCTCGTTTTGTGCTGCCATCCCTGTGTGCAAGGGCAGGGGTTTGGCTGCACCCTGAGCAGGACTGAGCTCAGCTCAGCCCTGTGAGCCAAAACCAAGGGCACGGCTCTGTCCTTGTGCAGGTCTGGGTTCCCGAGGGCTCTGCAAGCACCGGCCCCACGCAGTGAGGAGTCTCCCCCGAGCCCCCACACGTCCCCCCCGTCTCAGCTGCTAGAACAGCACCCTGATCCCGTGGGCACCGCAGCCTTACCAGGGAAACCAGTTAATTATTTCCAGGCACAAAGCGGCTTCCCCCACCGCCACAGGGCACTGCAACCATGCCAGCTCACGGGCCGTGCCAACCCACGGGCAACCGGTCCAGCACCACGCACTGGTCATGCCAGGGGCAGTCCTGGGGCATTTATTCCCCCAGGGACCTGCTGTGGCTCCTCCACAGGGTCCCCGGGCATCCCAGTGTGGGGGAGCCAGCACAGCACCCCAAGATAGGGCTCCCATCGGGTTTGGGGCTGCCTAAACCGGCTCTGGGTGCTCAGAGCAGTGCCCAGGCCGGGGGGAAATGAAGCACCCACAATGGGCGCTCAGGCATGAAGGAATGGGGCATTTATGCACAACTAAGTGGGCACCCATGAGCCAGAGGGGCACTCATGCAAAAACACCCCGGGAGATCGTGCGTGGGCTAATTGGGCACTCGTGCATTAATTATGTGGGTGCTCTTAGGTGAACTAATTGGGTGCTCATGCATGAACTGCCCGGGTGCTGCGGCGGGAGTGAAAGGGCCGCTCACGCACGAACCAGCTGGCGTTCCATGCATCCATTTTTTTGGGCATTCATGAATTCACGGGGCGCCCATGCATGGATTCATTCAGCACTCACACGTCCATTCGCTGGGCACTCCTGCGTGAGCTAATTGGGCACTCATGTGTAAATTAGTGTAATTAGGAGATAACACACTTGTGCACGTACTAATTGGGCACTCAGGTGTGAATGCATCAGGTGCTCATGCATGAATTAATTGGACACTCAGGCATGAGCTAATTGCAGCCACGTGCGCCAATTAATTGGGCACTCATGCATCCACAGCCGGGGCGCTCATGCGCGGAGCAGCAGCGTGCGATCCAGCGGGAATTCGCTGGGCAGCCATGCACAAATGCAGCTGGGTGCTCGTATGCAAATGAACTGTGCGCTCATGCGTGTGTTAATTGGGTGCTCATGCGTGAACTGATTGGGGCGATGCGGACGAGCCCGGGGTGCTCACGCTAAAACAGCCGGGAGCTGCGGGGTGAGCCCCGCACACCCTGCGCTTTAT